TCACATAGACCATTTGTTGGTCCTTAGTGTTGCCCAAAAAAGTGAGGGCCTAGGTTTGACTCATAGTCATAATGCACTTTTTAGCGGCTTTTCTTTCAGCAAAAACAAAAAAAAAAGTTCAAGGAAGCTGAATTGCGGTGTTCCGAAAGCTCCACTGATACAGAAGATGTTCTATTTTAGCTTTAGAGTTATCTACCTTGTGTAAGCCTTAATTTGAACGCACGGAATGGGGTGATATAGTGTTCCGTAAGGGCCCCAACTAGTAACCTGCAATCCAGGGTAGGTAGTGCTGGAATCTAATTAGCGGTTTTGCACTGCAGGTGTAAGTTTGTAAGTTAAATCATAGCTGTCTTGCAATGCCTTGTCAAATTCTGGCCCTAGATAATCAAATAATCCAGTCGTACTTTTAATGGGTATGTTTACTCCAGTTTTTATTAGTATAGCAGCGCGCTCTTTCATTTCAATTCCTTTGTAATCTGTAACAAGTAACTAGCGGGTATGTTGCTAGAGCCATTACTGCNGTCCTGTAATCTGTAACAAGTAACTAGCGGGTATGTTGCTAGAGCCATTACTGCTTTAATGCCGCGAAGAACATATTTAGATAGACGTGACTTTTTGACGAGTTAGAGGCGCTGCCGACTCAACTGCTTTAGTTGGTCTGGAAAATACTGCTGTCGCTTCTTGAGCTTATTTTATTGCAGGGAACAAAAATAACTGTTATCTCAAATTTGCAAATTGAAAACGTTGCCCGAATTCTGAAATTTAACGAAAACTTTATTTTATAACAGTTATTAAACGAGAAATATTTTTTCCGAGAGTTATTTCTCAACGTGTATTCTTTACGTCGCTTGATAACAGTTATTGCCCGCCGTTACTTTTTTATGTTGCTTGTTAACAGATATCGCCCGATGTTTATTTTTACGTTGTCGGATAAGAGTTATTTCTCAACGTGTATTCTTTACGTCGCTTGATAACAGTTATTGCCCGCCGTTACTTTTTTATGTTGCTTGTTAACAGATATCGCCCGATGTTTATTTTTACGTTGTCGGATAAGAGTTATTTCTCAACGTGTATTCTTTACGTCGCTTGATAACAGTTATTGCCCGCCGTTACTTTTTTATGTTGCTTGTTAACAGATATCGCCCGATGTTTATTTTTACGTTGTCGGATAAGAGTTATTTCTCAACGTGTATTCTTTACGTCGCTTGATAACAGTTATTGCCCGCCGTTACTTTTTTATGTTGCTTGTTAACAGATATCGCCCGATGTTTATTTTTACGTTGTCGGATAAGAGTTATTTCTCAACGTGTATTCTTTACGTCGCTTGATAACAGTTATTGCCCGCCGTTACTTTTTTATGTTGCTTGTTAACAGATATCGCCCGATGTTTATTTTTACGTTGTCGGATAAGAGTTATTTCACTCTCTCATTTTTATTTCATCATCTTTATCTGCTTCTCCATCTCCATCTTCATCAATATCCTAATATTACAACGGTTACCAGGCAACCTAAAAAATAAACGCTGTAAAATAACTCTTATCAAGCAACGAAAAAAATAAGCGTTGGGAAATAACTCTTATCGGTAACGGAAAAAATATTTCTCCGGTATAACAGTTATCAGGCAACGTAAAAAAAAAAACGTTGGGTTATAACTCCTATCGACGAAATAAAACACATTTCTCATCTAATAACTGTTATGGAGCAACGTTTTTGCCATAAAACTTATAACAGTTATGTCCATGTTTTATTGTTCAAACTCCGGACAAAGTACAGCAGCTTCCACCCCTATTTTTACTATCTGTGGAGTCTATTGGTTACAGCCTTTGCACATCTCTAACCTTTGTAGATACCACCAGTCATCGTGAAATATTTGTCCCTTAAGGCCTGAACAAGAACCAAGTAAGGTAAAATATTTTCCATAATTTGTGCTTAACTCTTTACTGAATGAATTATGAAGGAGATGAATAAACAAATTTTAACTTAAAAAACACTTTATCAATAAACGTAATTCGAAAGATAAAACGACTCCAAGTTATTTACACTGCCGGCAGAAAGTATTGGCACAGCAAATTTTTCACAGTACACATATGAAAATGCAAGTGTTTCTTGTAAAATAAAATGAAATAATATTTTTTTAATTCACACATCCTCTTCTGTGTCAATCAATAATTAGTTTCACGATAACTAACAATTTTCTATTGTTTTCATACAATTTTCCTTATATTTCTTTGCGAAATAATATTTAAAATACACTGCCGGCAAAAAGTATTGGCACAGCAAATTTTTCACAATATATGCAACAATTTTTTTTTTTCTAATATTTTTCCGCTAATTCTTTATAAAAACATGGTTTATTCTACAATAAAAATATTAAAATAAAATTTCTAAACTTTGTGCTCGTAGTTAACTTATAAATACATTCAATTTGTTTGGAAAAAAATTGCCGAAGTAGTAGCACCATATCTGTGGTGATAAGAAGTTGAAAAACCTGAATTCGAGAAAAAACGTTTTAAATCAAAATATGTTCGTCTATAACTTTTTAAATATGTCGTTCCGCTGGCGAGATGAGGATTTAACATACACATGGATAGTAGTCTTAAGTCGCCTTAGGTGGTTATAGCTTATGACCACAGATATATGGCGTCGTATGCGGTAGAAGGTTAATTTTTTC